GATTCCCTGTGGAGGCGAATGCCCTGGTTTCGGGCTCCAGGTGGGGGGCATGCAGGAGGGAGCCAATCCATGTTTCACTCTGACATCGATGTTTCTCTCTCCCTCTCCCTTCCTCTATCAATAAAAATGTCTTTTTAAAAAAACTTCGTAAGAATTTATACCGAAGTACATTGGTGTTCCAGTATAAAAATGCTGTCTCCCAAATCTTTGAGTAAATCTACAGTGCAGGAAAAGGCAGCATTTTCATCTGTAGGTTCTGTAGCTCCAGGGGAGCTCCACAATCCTTTGGTTGAGAAGCAGATCATTAGCATTTAGTTCTGACTACATAGAGTTCTAGATGTTGTTTTAGAAATTATATAAGGGGCTTTTTAAAAAGTTAGGGGTGGCCCTAGCTGGTTTGGCTCAGTGGATAGAGCGTCAGCCTGCGGACTGAAGGGTTCCAGGTTCGATTCTCATCAAGGGCACATGCCTGGGTTGTGGGCTCAGTCCCAGGTGGGGGGCATTCTCATCATTGGTTATTTCTATCTCTCCTTCTCCCTTTCTCTCTGAAATCAATAAAGATATATTTAAAAAAGAAAAGTTAGGGGTGGTTTTTTTTTCTAGTCTTCATTTTCAAACGTTTTATTGTAGTAAAATATATATAATATAAAAATTTCTATTTTAACTATTTTTAGTTGTACAGTTTTGGGGCATTTGGTATATTTCACATTGTTCTGCAACTATCACTACCATCTGTCTCCAGAATCCTGTTTTCTGTTTTCTTTTGTTAAATCTATGTTTTCCCCATTTTTAAAATTTAATTTATTGGAGTGACGTTGGTTCACAAAACCAAACAGGTTTCAAGTGTGTAACTTAATAAATAACATCTGCACACTGCATCCCACAACCATCGCCCCATGAGTTAGGTGTGTTTACATGATATTAAACATTTCTAGATATTGAAAGTAGCTCTATAGCTCTTAAAAATAGTCAACAAAGCCCGGCTAGTGTGGCTCAGTGGTTGAGAATTGACCTATGAACCAGGAGGTCATGATTTGATTCCTGGTCAGGGCACATGCCCAGGTTTCAGCCTTGTGCCCCAGTAGGGGGCGTGCAGGAGGCAGTCAATCATAGATTTTCGTCATTGATGTTTCTATCTCTCTCTCCCTATCCCTCCTCTGAAATCAATAAAAATAAAGATATTCACTAAAAGTAGCTGAATATAAAATAAAGCAATTTCCATTGGTGATGATTGTCTCACAGTAGCAAATAATCTTATTTAATGCTAACAACTACGTCTTTAAAAATCCAGTTAAACATTGCAATTTGCTGAAATTACAGAGGAAAAAATATAATTATATCAGCTACTATTGAAAGCTCAAAAGAAGTTATTAATAAAAATGCAGGCTGTCCAGTGGCTCTCTAACAGTGCTAAGCCCTGTATTGTTTTTGCTTTTATTTGATCTCTGTGTGTGTGTTGGGGGGGGGCGGGGGGGGGAGGTGCATTTTGCTTCTAAACTAATTACTAAGCTTTAAAACATAAAATATTGATGCTTTCTGAAGAGACACTTTAAGCTAAAATTACACTTAAGACTTGGTTGAGCCATAACATTTCTACTGTGTGGCGTTAGTAATGAGGACATTTCCAGCCCTGAGTGGCACTAAGTTCTTTGTGAGAGCAGTAAAGACAATCAACATTCTGAGTGCTGTGACAAGCTCCTTATTTGAAGGCCCAGATAGCATCGTGCCCTTCCCTGATGATGTCTTCCAATTACTGGCTCTATGTGACCAATGCCACCAGAAAATGGGACAGGACTTGTCTTACTATGTATTTTCTAAAAGCAAATATAATCATTGCATTGACTGTGTGCTCCAAATGTTCATTAGAAATCCAAACCAAACCAAACACTTTTTACTTTTAGTAATCATGAGGAGTCTTTACATATTTATATAATATACTAGAGGCCCAGTGCACGAAATTTGTGCACAGAGCGGGGGGACCCTCAGCCTGGCCTGCACCCTCTCCAATCCGGGACCCCTCGGACATCCCTCTTGAAATCTGGGACTGCTGGCTCCTAACTGCTCTCCCCTGTGGGCCTGATCGTCCCTAACTGCTCTCCCCTGTGGGCCTGATCATCCCTAACTGCTCTCCCCTGCCAACCTGATTGCTCCTAACTGCTCTCTCCTGCTGGTCTGATCACTACTAACTGCTCTCCCCTGCTGGCCTGATCACCTGTAACTGCCCTCCCCTGCCAGTCTGATCACCCTTAACTGCTCTCCCCTGCTGGCCTGATCACCCCTAACTGCTCTGCCTGCCTGCCTGCCTGATTGCCCCTAACCACCTCTGCCTCGGCCCCCACTACCGTGGCTTTGTCCAGAAGGACATCCGGAAGATGTCCAGTCTATCTGGTCTAATTAGCATATTACCCTTTTATTAGTATAGATTGTACATTATATGTATGGCCTGCTTACACTATTTTATTTTTAAATGTATTTTTATTGATTTCAGAGAGGAAGAGAAAGGAGAGATAGAAACATCAATGATGAGAGAGAATCATTGATCAGCTGCCTCCTGCATGACCCCTATTGGGGATCAAGCCCGCAACCTGGGCATGTGCCCTTGACAGGAATTGAACCCAGGACCCTCAGTCCACAGGCCAACACTCTATCCACCGAGCCAAATCAGCTGCATGTCAAACTTGCAGCCCACAGGCCACATGCCTTATTTATTTGGCCCATGTTAGCCTTTGAGTTTGACATGCTTGGGCTAGGGCCTGGCTTACATTATTTTAAAAGAGAACAATGCTTTAAACTAATAGGTTTACCTCAATACTTCTTATCTTTCTTTTTTCTTGAGAGACGGGGGGAGGAGGGGTCAGAGAGAGAAATCAATTTTCTGTTCACTCATCCATGCACTCATTGGTTGATTTCTGCATGTACCCAGACCATGGACCAAAGCTACCACCCTGTCACATCAGAACGATGCTCCAACAAACTGAGCCAGGGCTCAATCTTTCCTCTTTCCACTGGTTCTATACTGAATCCTCTTCTTGAATAATACATTTTACATCCAATGTAAAGAACAGAAAAATTCCCAGTGTTAATGCATTACCACCCACAGAGCTACCACTATCAAATTTTGATCCTTTATTTTCTTTAGAATTTATAGTTGCTATGATTGTTACTGATGAAAAAACAGATGTCACCAAACTATTGTGAGTTGTGGTCCTTATGGATGTTGACATCTGGGATGTGTTTTGTGAAACACTTGTTACTTTGGGTATAGACTTTAAAGTGGTGGTAGTCGTATTTGTGAGCCTGGTGATGTCATTTTAGATGTTGCTATGGGTTTCAAGGTGGTGGTTGTCACTGGGGAAGCTGGAGTTGGAGATGGTTTCACAGTGCTGTTGATTCTGTGTAGGGCTGAAAGGCACAGTTGGTTATTTCCTGTTGGTTTAGCAGTGAAGTTTTAGGGAAGTGCCAAGTCTTCTACTTGAAGATCGCACAG